TTTTTTTTTTTTTTTTTTTTTGCTGGGACCTTCCTTGGTCCTTGCATGGGCTGGCCACCCGGGACCCGGGCGGCCCGGCTGGTAGCCTAGTTTGTTTTGCCATTATCTTCTCCTTATGAATTGTCCTTACTATCATTTTCTTTATCATTGTCATCATCATCATCGTCACCACGACCATCACCTCCATCATTGGTATCGACATCATTATCCTCTTTGTTCTCATTCTCCTCCTCCTCGTCCACTATATCCTCTTATTCCTTCTTCGCCCCTTCCTCCACATCATCCTCTTCCTCCTTTCCTGCTCCTCCTACTCCTACTTTGTTCAATCTGTTCTTTGAATGTAGCTCAATTGCTAGTTAAATTAATGGATGTCATCAACAAATTTGCTTGCTCTAGTATATGCGACCAGTTTCTTTATTTGGCGACTTACATAGTGTTTGCTCTTTTTTGTTTGACTTTTTATTTTTTCGTCTTTGGGTTGGCCATTTACAGGCAAGGAGGATGAAGGAAGAGGAGGACCAGATTGCAGAATACAACGCGTTGCTTGATAAACGACTTGAGGCACAAAAGGTCAAGAGGAGGGAAAGGACAGCGGAGCAAGAAAAGTAAGACATTGTCGATTACACGATGTTTCATTTTCCCCATGGAAATATTTTGTTATGACACCATAAGGCCTTTTGTACAACTTTTTTCAACTGCTCAAGATTATGGTCAATAGGTCGTGGGGGTAATGCAGTAATACACCTTTTAAGGAGGAATTATTGTTGTAAACCCTACTTTTCGTTTTTTTTTTTGCGGTTAGTAACTATGGTATCTACTCTATGACTTGGTGGCAAGTTTGGTTGAAATGACCTTTGGATTTTGTTACAAATGGCATGACAAGTTGTCTGAAAATTAGGGCCTCCGTTAATCGCCTCTCCTAAAGTGTGGAATGTTCTGTTAGTTTAAGACGGTTGTTTGTGAAAATTTGAAAAGTGAAAACAGCATGAGATGTTATAACTGAGAATGGTACGTGAAAAGAAAAATGAGAATCACTAAATGTACCATCACAGTGACCGAATGTTAAGTAAGCAAAATTGTCAATAACAAAAACGTAGAGAGTTTAAGTCCCTTTGTACTTATGAGAGAGAAAATAACTGGAAAGGTAAAAGTTGAAAAATATGTGGACATCAGTACAAAGAAAACACGAAAAATAACATGCTGTCCAAATCCCTACACTTATAAAAGTTCTTAATGTGAGAATTTTGGGATCCCGGCCGTCCGCGGACCTACCGGCCCAACGACACTGATTGCCCCGCGATCTTAAGATTTTAAGATCGCGCGGCGATCTAGGCCGTTCGCGGTCCTACCGGCCCGGCAACCTAGATTGCCCCGCGATCTTAAGCGATCTTAAAACTTTAAGATCGCGGGGCAATCAGGGCCGTCGGGCCCGCGATTGGCCTGGATCGCCGCGCAATGTTTGGACTACCGGTACGGCCCTGTGTTTCCTTTTGTGGAGGACCAAGGCGTCTTGGGCTGTTGTAGGGCGGCGCTTTCCCTGCACCGAAGTCCAGCGTGCCCATTGGATGCGACGAAGGACATTCCAGTACCGAACGCGACAAACTCAAAGCGTGACCTTAGCGAAAGCGGCAAACTCCTGTACGCGACCTATCGAGTCTGACAGACTATCTTGCAGCCCTGTTCTGCGACTGACGGCTTTTGCGTGTGCTCGAAGACGCCCTCTCTCTCTCTCAGTGTCTGTCTGTGTGTGTGCTGTGGTAGAAGGTTTCCGTGAAGGCAAATCCCACGACGTGGGAAAGATCGACCCCTACTCTACTCTACGCTCAACTTCGACTTTACTACTTCACTCTGCACTACCACGCTCGACTTCAACTTTACTGCTCCACTCTACACTACCACGCTCGACTGCGACTTCACATTTGTCTCGCACATACACACTCACACACACACACACACGACATGGTGAGCGCTTATCCATCAGCCAAATTCATCCCGGGCAGACTGTCGAGGCTCAACCTCTTGATGAGTCGGTGGAAGTCCGACGAAACAGTCTGGCTTAGTCATGCTTTTTTTATGGAGTTGTGTATAGCGAACATCACAAGCACACCCACAGAGAGAGAGAGAGAGAGAGAGAGAGAGAGAGAGAGAGAGAGAGAGGGATGCGACATGTCTTGCAACACGAACTACCAGGCTTGATCGATTGATCGGGACATGAGAGGAGGGGGAGAGAGAGCGAGAGAGGGAGAGTGATCGACTGCACACACACACAGAGAGAGAGAGAGAGAGAGAGAGAGAGAGAGAGAGAGAGAGAGAGAGAGAGAGAGAGAGAGAGAGAGAGAGAGAGAG